TTTTGAGGTTGCAGGAAGATGCCGAAAAAAATTCAAACTTTTTCAATTATCGAAAATTTAAATTTAGCCGTGAAAATCGAACCTATGCCATCTTTATAAGTGTGCTATTTTACCCTTTTGTTGCAAGAAATTTAAAGAAAAAATGTGGAGCCATTTTTGAGGAAATTTTGAAAATGCCCTGAGGGCTTAATGAAGAGTACCCCCAAAATTCAATTAATGTTTTTCAAAATCGCAAATCTTCGACTCAGGCCAGAACGACAGGTTTTTTTTTTTTTTCAAGTTGTCAGTAGTTCGTCCCTCATCTTCATCTCCAGAATCCTTATTGGTCAAAATATGAGGATTGGCAGGTACAATGTAGATATCTTGAACATCAGTATTCTCATTTAGTAAATCTAAAACTTCCCCTACACTCAAGCCTGGAACGAGTGTTTCTAACAATGTCCTGTGACATGCAAAAAAGTTTAGTTTTGGGGATTTCCCAGTATTACTATATGTTATTGCATTATTGGCAAATCAATTTTGCCACCTTTTCGTAGGAATTTTTGAATTAAGTAGCTAATTATTGTTGCGTTTACTTATCATCTTACGTTCACAACAAAAATAATGACATAATAATATATAAATATAAGAAATACTATAAATATCATGCAATACATAGCAGCCTTGCCAAACTTGAGCATTAAAACACAGGTTGCAATACTACGCGCTGATTGATGCAGGATTTTCGTTACCAGATCGTACTGCTGCACACTAATGGATGAAGTTTTCTTGAAGGCCAGTCTGCTTGAATATATGTGATTTTCTGTCTGTACAGTCCTATTTACATTTTAAAAAAATCAGCAGTATTTAGATTACCTAAGTTGCAATGACTTTTAGATCACCACAGATTTTTCCACTCGTATGCAGCATATAACAAAAGTTGCCACATAGAGATCCCATGACTTATCCGTTCCCCTTCATTAATACGAAAATAATGCTTGTAGGCATTCTTCACAAGAGATGTAATATTGCATTTCTGTGAAGAAAATGTTATTTCACTACAGATCTATCAAACTATAATCACTAAATTTACACATTTGCGTGGTATTTTGATTTATCAAGTTATAAACTTCAAAAGCACTCCAAAACTGTAATTTGTTTATAACCTACAAACGGCTAGAAAACTTAAGTTTCGTAAGTTGAGAGGGGAGTGATAACTCTCAAAACCAAAATTTCCTCCAAATTGAAAATGTAAACTCTAAAAACTGTCTCTGTATCTCCAAAACTAGAGTTAATTGGTTATTGTTATGATGATTTTTGAATTCCAGAGGTTGATATACATAAGAATATGGACTTCCAAAACATTTTCATTGTTGGGCACTGTTGTCACTGTATTTAAGAAGGCACTCTATATTTTCCGTATCCTTATTTATGTTATTGTGTAGAAAGTTTCCGAAGTAAAGATAATATAGTTACCTTCATGAAATGTTCACTTCATCATTGTTCTGAGAATCCTCATAGAAATCCTTTTTTTTATTGTTGGGGAATTCAGACAAAAAACCTGAATCACAGTACCCAGATTTTTGCTTTTTATTAAACACAAACTGATACCTAATGCAGCACAATATGATCTCTTTTGTCTTAATTTAAACACAAGTGAAAAGTGTTCTATATGTTTTAATTGCCATTCATAACATAAATGTGGTAACTAGTGGATTACAACAGCATATACTTTCTCGCATTATATCTCATAATACATTTCAAAATTTGCAATTATCAAAAATTCAGAGAGTTAAACGAAAATGAGATTTGCACCATATTTTTTGTTCTCTTCTTCTATCCGTGAAAAAGTTGTAGCATGACCTGTTTTAAAGATTGATTTTTTAGAATATATTTCATTTAGGACAAACATTTCTGCATTTAGTATTGTACTTTCAATATTCTAACTTTTTGCAAATTTTGAAAATACAGAATTTACAAAAAATGAAACTGGCACCAATTTTTATACTGTTTTTTGATACATACAAGGGGGAAATTTTAAGAAAATATATGGAGCCGTTTTTGAGTTTAAAAAAATTGTTTAAAAATTTGGAGTAGTAAATAACCTCGACAATTGTGCCTGTGTTTCATAATTCAAAATACTCGCACTGCGGTCCCAGTACAACAGAACATAGAACAACTATCAATACACCTATTTTTCCAGTCTGCAAGATAAAAAAGAAAATGCATACAATTTTGTTTAGATTTCTGATTAAGGATAATTGCATTTTGATCAATAAATATCAGAATATGAGAGAATAATAGAATTTAGGCATTTAAACACAAAATAGGCTTTTATTGAGAAAAAGGTACTTTAAGGCACTATAATAGGCTCTTATAATACTCCTAATAGACCAAAATGAATAAGAAACCAAAATTATTGCATTTTCCATTGATATGAAGTGGGAAAGCCAAGCCCGAGTTGTGACCAAAAAAAAAAAAAAGCCAACAAATCTGATACAGAAGGCATTTTGCTGACCTGGATATAGAAACAGCTCCAACAGCCTATGTAGCTTATACGAGACCAATGCAAAAATAACCCGTTCTATTCTGGTCCTTTAGTAACAAAAAAGATATTGAACTTCTTGAAAAACCTTGGAGGATGTTGTATACTCTGCCTGGAAGTGAGGAGGGAATGAAGTGATCTGAAAGCAACTTGCAAAACAAAATTTTAGGGAACACAACATTTTTTGTGATCTTCTCATCAAGTCATCCAATAATAAATAGACTATGAGGTCATTCAAATAAAGTTGCAGAAAGAGACTGTCCAAATCAACCATTGGTCCCACTTCATAAAATCCTAAATAATTCCACTGTGCCTCACATTGGTTAAACCAATTCAAATGGAGAATGTGTCAGTAAATGAAAATATAGATATGTATTCAATCATAAATTGTATCAATCAAGCAAGAATTACATTGTTAAATGATTTTTGTGATGAAGTATGAAATACCTCGTAATTTCAATTTAAAAATTATTGTAAATTTTAGCCACTATTGTTTTATATTATGTATTATTGGGTGATTTTTTATAAATAAATAAATACAGTGGTGAACACATTGAATAAACTGCCAGGGGCCTGTGTGGAAGCATGATGTGTCTTTCAAAACTCATCTGGACAAAACCAGATCTGTGATATTGCAAGTTGAAAACAAACTGTGATACATGAGATACACAAATTATGTCATATTTTGTGGTAGATTTATTATAATTTAGTATCGTATGATATATTAATTATGATGTATTGAAGAAACAGATACATTTATTATCAACCATGCTGCTATCAAGTGAGATATAAATAATTAGTTTATAGCTAAGAATTTTGGCAACAAGCCATGTTTCGGTGAGAATAATGTCACACTTGTTTAATATGTAAATACATTTTTCTGTATCATTTAGGATTGTTTTTAAACCTCTGATCTTTTGATAGTATTTGAGCCAGTTAACTAGTTTTTTGAAACTTTTCCCTAAGATCAATTTTTGGAGCTCCATTGACATGCTTAATAGTTTTGGTAAAATCATCCAGATCAAGTCTCAATTTTCTTAACTTGATTCTCTGCATCAGAGTCAAGTTACCATTAATTTTGTTAGGATCAGCACAATGACCTTTGTGTTTCAAAATCTTAATAGTTGCTTATGATCAGTCAAAACTACTTTTACTGTCCGAGACTTATCTACACTAATAAATTTCCCTAGTCGATAACTATTAACTATAGCTTTCTCATCAAGATCACAAACATTAGTTAACAACCCAACAATGGTATTAGAATTGGGTTTAATATTATCTAAACATTTATTCCATTACAAATCCGGCAAAGTTATTCACATTATTCCTACTAACAGTTCTCTCTTCAAGCTCATCAATAATATTAGTGGGACCAACAACATCAATATGTGTAGAAATGGGAGTAACTGATATTATTTTTAAGGTTGCATGATCAGATTCTATTTTGTCAGTTTTCTCAACAACTTTTTTCTATTTGAGAAACTATGGGAAACAATTCAATAAGTTTAAAGAGAACCTCTTGCACGACTTTAAAACCTTGTTTACAATCAATTCTTCTTTAGGACACTTGGACTCGCGGATGCACTTCAATTGTAGCTTCAAAACTTTGATTTGACACCATCAAATTCACACAAGAATGACATTGTCTTGTGACGGCTATTGTAATTATAAACTACCTTTATTTTCATACTTAACCTTGTTGCAAATTGCTCAAATATCCTCTGTCGAAGTTTCTAGATCTTATGATAGGCCCAAAGTTGTTATGTACTTGTCTAGGTATTTTTCAAACAATACCCAAAAGTTCCACCAGATAATATTTGTGTTGCAGACTTACGTTAAGGGTAGGTCCACTACAATTTTCCTGTTGAAACGGCCAGGAAAAATTCACTAGGTAAATGGTCAAATTAGTTTGTGGTAAACTGATTAATGAGGTTAAGAAAACACATAGAGAGGTAAAAAAATAGCCAAGTTGATCAGACACGATTTCAAATATTTATCTCCGAAAAATGGTGGACTTCAAGCAATTCTCAAATTAATCAGACAGAAAGTTGTTAAAAATTCGCCTGAAAACTGTCTTATTACACCAATTTGTAGGATCATTAGAGTTACTATATGTGAATTGCCACCAAATTTAATAAATGTTATTTAAGTTTTTTGAGGTCTCCACTCTCACGATATCAATGTCGGGTAGCCCTAAATTAATTTGTTCTACTTATGCTATTTTTGTCAAGTTCATTAACTACAGTATTTTTCAGAGTTGATTTTATGAGGAATTTTCCTCCAGTGATTAAAAGAGATGCCCCATGCTATTACCTGCTCTTTCCAACTTTATCTACTTATGTGTGGTTCTTTTTCTCCCTTTTTTCACTCTCCCCTCTTTAGTGGAGGTTTTTGACCGTTTTCTATTCCTCTCCCTTCTTTTCCCTATTATTGCATTAGAGTGCTTTTCAATAATGCAGGTCATTTGTTGTTGCAGCTCCTTTACTGTTTGAGATTTTATAGAGGAGATGAAAAAATTCGGAGTTTCATTTGGGATTTAATCACACCATCAGAAAACGGCGAGTCCAAGATTCAACGTAATCACCATGGTAAGAGAGAGTTAATTTTTCCTGGTTTAGCATGCTCATTCTGTGAAACTAAACAAGACGTGTTTAGTATTTCTAAGTATCAATGGATTTATTCTCTAAATGTTCTTAATAATGTATTATAAGATACAGTTCTTCATATTGTTTAGTTGGCATTTTAACAATTTTTCAGGTCTTAATACTCCAGTTCCTCGTGGTCGAAAGAACAAAAATAAATTAAAGAAAGATATGCTTTGTGAGCCAGAACTGAATGATTGGAGTCGCCATGAAAAGTATGATGGTGATATATTTCTGGAAAGTAATTATAAAAAGCATTTGAGTCGACATGCTAACAAGTAAGTGTTACAATAAATGTGCCTTAGCTTGCAAAATGTGATACGATACTATTTCTATGTTTTTTCTTCATTCTTTCAGGGTTTTATTACGAGTTCGAATGTTGTACTACATAAAACATGAGATAATGGGTGACTTGGTTCAGCACATAGCAGATGGTGTTCATGTTAGGTATGTTTAAAAATATCTGAAGATTTCTTGGAGTAAGGTCTTCTTTAGTGCATTTTCTATCCAAATCACTCTTGCTTAACATTGGGGGTATGGCACAGGAATACTTGTTGAATTGAGGTGTGTACACTAGAATTTTGGAAATGATTCATTACTTAAACAAAATATTTTGGCAGAGTAATTCTTGGGTGATATCGAGTTCACAATACAGCATGGCTTAGCATTTGCTAGGCAAAATAGCAAATTTGCTTGACTCAGTGTGCATAATATTTTTTTACTTACATTTACCCTTAATGGATATTTTGGTTTAGTGCACGTGGCAGACTTGCTTTTCTGAGCTTGTTAGTGTGAGTCCCTAATTCTGTCCCTGAGAAAATGTGCAAACCTTTGCCAAGAATTAATATTTGTGGGCTTGCATCACATGTTGAATGTGATTAGTGGATCCAAGGTTACCAATATTTTGAAGTTTAGTGAATTATTTAAAGTAATGGAGTTTCTATGAAATATTTATTCATCTAATGATAATGTAACAAGATTTATACTAAAGCTGTAGAATTATATGTAAATTATTTTCTTTTAATTAACAAGAATTACTATATTTTCACATAATGTAAACAATGTTTTTAATGGAATATAATGTCTTAAAATTTCCTGTTACATATAATTACTATTTGAGAGATAGTGAAACGTTTATTTAAAACAGTACCTAAAGAAGATTGTAACTTTCTTGTTTCTCATTGTTGATCATTTCTACTTTGAAATTTTAACCCACAGTGCTTTGCACATTTTTCTCAAAAAGTGCCGTCATCAGCTATTTGATATTTAAAAATTTCTTATATTAAATCATCTGTACAAATTTTACATTATTTGTGCACGAGTTACATCACATTGTTTTGACCACCTATTGTTATTGTTGTATTTATTAGTCACGTTAAAATCACTTTAGTTTTCAGAGTAGAATTTCTGTATGTTGCTGATGTACTAGGTTCTTTAATTAAAGTTATAATTTTTCTCACGTTCCCCTGCATATCTTTTATGTTGTGTCGCCAAGCCAGTATGGATGTGAGAGCATATGGGTTTTTGTGTTGGGGCTGTGGTACCTTTTCAAGTGTTATGATTTTTGATCTCTGAGGGCACGCGTATGAAGTTCATGGTTATGAGCAGTGTTGCAAGTTGCTTAGGATCCAATCGACATATTTATTATCTTGGGACAAAAATCTTTCATTCAGGACTCATTCAAGAACAATACGGTTTTATTTTTCATTTTTTTATTTCACTGTGACAAATTATAAAGTTCTTTCGAGAATTCATGTTCCTTATTAATGTCTGGATATCTTTGTGACATGCTTTTTATGAAATTTTAAGAAAATTTTAAAGAATTGTTCCTTTCATCTTTTATTAACACTAGTGTGTACAATTACATATTTACATGATCACTGAAAAACTAAACTTTTATTTGTAACAAACAATGCAACTCTTAATGTTTAGAATGCAAAGCAAATTGAAGTCTTTTTTTTAAGGATTTGAGATACCTATTGCTTTTGAACACACCCCGTTTCTAGGGCTATTTGTCATTGCCCAAGTTCTTGAGGGTAGAGTCGATGCCAGTGAAGTGCATCAGGGGATCCTGTGCTCCTCTCCTGCCCTTTGTGCCTAAACCAAGGCTGCTTGACAACCGGTGGTGTGCCCGCTCGCCTGCCGGGTGGGTTTGCTGTTTGCAGTGCCCTGCCGATCCACCCACCCTATTGTGACCAGCCCCCTGCTCCTTGGTGGGATAGCGACGCGGATAGGTCCCTCTTAGTGGGTACCTACAAACACGGTTACGAATGCTACCCTGCTATGCGCAACGACCCTGCGCTGAGCTTCCTCGCACGCTGTGGGCCTGAAGAGGCTCCTCTGCTTCCCAATAACCACCCGGGCCTTCCCACCACCACCACTACCACCATCACCACCACCACCACAACCGCTGGCGGCAGTGCGTAAGTACAGATCCCACCTGCTACTTGCATGACAGCTTTGCTGGCCTTCGGCAGAGCATGGTGCTGATGGTACGTTGTTTTTTCCACTGCTTAACTTTCCTAGAACTATCCATAAGTTAACAGTCATAATTTATTTACAGTACTTCTTTTCATTGGGCTTATAATACAGCTTTGTTCCATTATTTCATGATGTTCTTGAGAGAAAACTTGGACTAAGAACAAAGTGTTTTACATGTTTCATTTTTTGTGTAGTGATGATTTGTTAACTTATATAAAAAATGTTGATGAAAATTGATTAGGTAGTTCATTGATTCTTTATTCCGCTGATTATAGTAACATATGGAATTGTGCTGTAATACAAGTATTGAAAGTAAACATTATTTCATAAAATAACATGAATTTTTTTATTGTTAGCCCTGAAGATGATCCAAGCAAAATTTCGGATGACGAAGACACTGGAGACGGTGATCTCAGAGACAACCCGTGTGGTGGATCAGAATCCTTGTTGCAAGAAAGAGCTTCAGCTACACCTGAAACAATGTCGGATGAACCTATGCCCTGCTCGTCAGGAATGGCAATGGAGGCCTCTCACGACGAAAACAGGCAAGATGCAGAAGATGGGAAGTCCCTTTGGCCCTCTATGGTAGACCTAAACACTCGATTACGACGTGTTGTTACATCATATCAAAGAAATTTTAAACGAGAAGAAATGAAGTTAGCACAAAAAGCAAAGGTGAGTTTGGCATTATACTGAAATCTTCAAATTTTCCCTTACCCAAATGATTCAGAACTGCCATTTGCATGGTTCTAAAATTATTTTTTGAAGTATTTGTGAAGTGAAGTTCTGGTGAGCAATATTCAGATTTAGGAAATTAAATCTTTTTGTTAAAGGCTCATTTAGTGTGATGATGCTTAGGCTTCCTCATGATATGTGATGTGTTATTTCTGTATTTGACAGGTGTTTGTAAGTATATTCCATTCTTTATTCCATTCCTATAAAGGAGTAAAACTGGTATTTGGAGATCTTGCTTCTTGCATAACAGAATAGTTTTGATTTGATTTTCATTCATCTTCTCTGGAACTATCGAGTGGGCTCTTGCCAATGCAATTGAAATTTCTCTTTTTAGTGTAATAACTAGTGTATAGGTAATGCATGTAATTGGTCGTTGGAATTTTACCGGAGCAAAGCTGACTTAAGTTGTAGAAACTTCAGTTACTACCATCCTAAATAAGCTTTAAAAACATTGTAAAGTATTTGATATATGCCTATTAAGTTATTAATTATATTCTTACTCGGTAACTTGGCTAGTTTGCAGCTTGTTTATCACCAAGTGAAACAATATTAGAAAAAACTTGCAAGTATTTAATGTAATATTAGAGCTTTTGATCTATTGGTTTGTTGTGAGGAAAAGTAGAGTACTCTTTCATTAAGGGTAGTGCATGCTTCACTTCACCTTGGTCAAGCAAGCTCGCAGGCAAGCAAGTGCCATTCTAGGTTAGTGTAGAATTTGGTAGTGTTGCACTGTAGTTGACTGCTGGCCCTATATGTGTTAGCAGGGGGTAGACGCAGACCAGCATGCTGTTATCAGAGATGTTCTGAACACGCAAGGATGGGACTTACAACAACTAGCCATGCATCTGTGGGTAATGTATTGTCCTGTCCTTTGCCCTTTTACTTTCATTCTGTCTTTCTGAGTTGATGTAGTGCTGCAGTCCTCAAAAAATTTATTTTCCAAAATGACAATTTGTTAGATGCTCATTAATATGAAAGGCTTAAAATAGGATTTTTTCACAGTGCCTGCTTGGACACATTTTAGAATTGCAATTCCTGGTAACGATGATTTATTTAAATTTATCTAAATAACCATCTTCAATTTGGTCAGCAGTTCTTTACAGACTGTTGATCTCAGAGTTAGTAGATGGTATTTTTAAAAGGAATAAATAAATACAATAATTGTTTAGTAAGATTAAATTAATAACTTGTATTCATCAAGACATTTTCTTTAATATATTTAGTTTTTCAGTTTTTAACGTCTTCAATATCATTCCACAGAAAATGGAACGGCGTGAGAAGTTGGAACAGATAGTTCGTGAACGAGAGCGCCAGCGCTTGGAAGTACAGCAAAAGAAATGGTCCAGGCGTGAGGAGTCGGATTTTTTTCGCACTGTATCTACATTTGGTGTGGAGTTTGATAGGTAATTATGGAAGTACTTTAAATACAAACAGTAATGAATGGAAAAATAAAATTAAAATGAATTTTTTCTTGGGTAAAATTGCTTTTAATTTGTTAAAAATCAATTAACAAATAAGAAGGATGATGCTAAACTTAACCTTTTTTCTTCCTGAATTTAGGAAGTGTTGTCTGGGAGAGTGAATGCAGTTTATTTGCCATCCAGTAGAACCTTGTTTACCAGCTAGGGCTGAAAGTAATCCTGATTAATAAAATTCCAGATAATCCAGGATGTACTAGGAAGAAATAAAAATGAAAACAAATACACTGTTTGGTATCACTAATTGTTAATAGTTTCTTTGAAAGATACTAATTTTGAGAGGCTTTTCACCCTCCTGAATTTAACATCATTCACTTAACATGTTTGCTTCTTTTATGTCAACATTTTCATGGTACCTAGATGCAGCATAATCCATACCTCCCTACTATGAGTTCCTCCAATGATGTTTCTGGCTAAATTATATGTTTGTGAACTTGTGCAGTTTCCATATAATTAAGGCCACTTTTGCAGCCCTCTTGTTCGCAGGCAGACAAGGGGCGTAATGAAATCCTCCTATCCTCATACTATCATTGTTTCCCAACAAGGCATACATATCTCTGCACTGGTTGAATTATTCATTATTGTACAAGCAGCTGAGAATTGTCCATTTTTGAGTAATATGAATGATATCAAGTTCTACATTGTTGTAATGTAGGTAACTGTAGTTGTACAGTCCTTGTTGTATGTAGGACTTACCTGTGTGTTTTTTTTTGTTGTTGCCCCTTCTATATATTCTCTCGAGGAAGGCAATATCTTGAGTTCAGTGAAAATTCTAGACTAGGCAAGTGTGTTCCAGAATTTGCCAGTTGTAGGTGTGGTACATCAATTTAAAAGAACAGCAATTGATATGTTTGATAGCCTTCTCATCAATGAAAACATAGTGTTGGCTCTCGTGGTTATTGTGTTCACTCATCACACCAAGTGCTGCTGAGTAGTTCTTCACAAGGTGGTAAGAAGTCATGTGTTCTATTTACTCATTTGTAGGACCACACATGTCACAGTGTTCAGAGGAAATATCCATTGAGAAGATGACATCATTATCATTTCCTGATTTTGATGGAGATCATAATAATTCTTATACAGGTTTTTCATACACTTTCTTGTCATCAGTGTATGTTGACAGTAAATGTAATGTTTTTTTGACAAGTCATTGATATACTATTAAAAAAGTACTGATCCATTGACAAATCCGTGTACATAAGCTACTCGGAACATTTCTTGGTTGTAAAGAGAGGTCTGACCCATGTAGACTTGGAAAGTTTAATTCTCTAAAAAGCCCTAAATCCAGGAGAAATGTCCTGCTGAGGTGTTCAGAGCATAAACTGATGTCACTGTCTTGCCTCTGACTTGGAGGTCCAAACGTTTGAGTCCCAATGGTGGTATATGGTAATTTTCGACACTAGATTGCTAGGTCAAGTCCAACTTTTGTATAGAGGGAGAATTCAAGATGGCTGCTCAATTTTCTATGGTTTCTCTTGATTGACACCAGGTGAATGCTGGAGCAGTACCCTAACAATTGAGCTATGGATCTATCGTGCACAATCATTCCTTCCTCTCCCCTGTTGCATCTTAGCCCTAACTTACTCCATACACAAGCATGCACTATATTATCATACATGTTGGGAGAATAATGCATAGGGATCAATTGATGTCACTGCAGTGCCTCTGACTGACAAAAGGTTTGAATTTTAACAGAGGCAGGATGTTTGTTTGCTGGGTCGAATTCAGCTGCTGTCTGGAGGAGAATTCTAGCAGCCAGCTACTCTGAACGAATGTTTTCCATGGATTCCTTGATCAACATCTGGCGATGCCAGAGCAACTTCCTTAGTATCAACTGGAGAGAACGTGAAACTCGTGAAAGAAAGGAAGTAGAGCAGGAATTTTTACATCACAAAATTCATTCAAATCTTAGTCAGATGAGGATGGAAACAACAAGATTTAGAGCAAATTGGAGTCCAGTGTTGTTGGTCTTGGTATCAATGACAAAGATATTATCACACTGCCTGGCTTGAGACCACAAATTGGCTTGAATCATCAAGTTGTTATAACACCCTTACAAATTGAGGCCAGTAGGGAGGATGACCAGAGGTTAAATTACTGCAGAGTTTATTACGACAGTGTAGGTGAGTCTCTTGCAACAAACCTTTTGACTGAGAAGCTATTTGATGATAACAATGAGTTGGTTTGTATTCCCCGCAAATGAAAAGATAAGTGTTACTCAAACCAATATCAACAGAGAAATTATAAAACTATGATGAAATGTTCTGTATGGACCCCCCCCCCAAAAAAAAAAAAAAAAAAAAAAAAAAAAAAAAAAAAAAAAAAAAAAAAAAAAAAAAAGAAGAAGAAGGAACTCGAAAGGATGCATATCATAATAATTATTGTATGATCAATAATGAAGTCAGTTAAAGTTTTCGAGAAACTTCGTTGTAAATCATTTCAAGCACTTCTACTCATAAATGCAACAACTTATAAAAAAACATATCTAATGTAAATATTAATTATATTAATTAAAAAAAATTACATTTGTGTAATTTTGCAATCAAAATAATAAGTCAAAGGCATTTATAGCATATTATTCACTGCATTTTGCATTAGCTGTACAAAAAAATTTAAAGGAATAATTGTGAGGTATTTTGGATACAATGTGTTTCTGTAATTGCAGAAATTTGGGCTCGATTTTGCAGAGAAAGTTTAGGAATAACTTACAATTTAGCAAGATATAATATAATAAGATATAATTTGATGCACTTGTACTTGCAAGTGTAATAATATTAATAAAATATGTACAAATCACTGGTAATATAAATATTAACGTCTTGAAGGATACTTTAAAAAAAGATATTTGTGACATTTTTATAATACAATACTTTTGTGAAACAATACTTGAAAGGTATTTTTTGTCCTATACAGTGCATTTAGCACTATATGTACAAAGAGATTGAAGAAGAAATTTTGAACTGTTTTTAAGAAAATGTTGTTTTTAATATTGCCAATACTTGTTTCAAAATTATGTTAAGAGTTTTCATGAGTGTTATCATATTCTGCCTTTACTCAACAAGTGCACGCACTACCTCTTGTCCCTGACAGGAAAATCTGATGAATTCAAAGAACATCTTGAAAAATTTATTAATTTGCAAAAATAAATTTCTTTGAGTCAGATTGACATTTTTGAGCAAATCGTGGACAGAAATAAACTTAAAAAAATTATGATTATGTACAATGATGTTGAATCTTCTGTGGATTTGGAGGATTCTGTTGAAAAGCATATTGATTTACTGTCAGTATGTTGCAAGTTTGTCTTCTGATGTGTATTACTTACTACAACCTTTGTAAGGGATATTCTCCTGAATAAATAATTAAGTATCAACAAATTAACTGAGATATAACTCGAGTGTCTTTGCTAACAGCACGACTTCGCCTTCAGTGCTTCCAAGGCTTGTGACCATAACGATTGGACCATAGATGATTAGAAAAACGTGACTTGGTCAGATGAGTCCCAATTGCAATTGATAAGAACCGATGGTAGGGTTAGAGTGTGGCGCAGACCTCACCAAGCCATGGATCCAAGTTGTCAACCAGGTGCTGGCTTCATATGAGTAGACTTTTCTAACATGGAATGGACTGAATACTCTGTCCAACTGATCATTGACTGGAATTGGTTACGTTCAGCTACAGCTACAAAGAGACAATTTGCAGCCATGTATTGACTAAATGCTCCCAACAACAATGGAATTTTAATGGAAGACAAAGTGCCATACCACGAGGCCACAATTGTTTGCAGTTGGTTTGAAGAACATTCTGGGCAATTGAAGCAAATGATTTGGCAACTCAGATCGCCAGACATGAATCCCATCATTTATGGGACATAAGTGAGAGATCAGTTCGTTCAAAATCCTGCACTAGTAACACTTTTGCAATTATGGACAACTATGGAGTCAGCGTGGATGGTAATTTGTGGAAGGGAACTTCCAGCATCTTGACCCCATGCCATGTCACCAAAATTGCTGCAAACAAAAGGTGGTGCGATATGCTATTAGGAGGTATCCTATGACTTACGGCACCTCAGTGTATATTTAATTGAAAGTGCAGTATTCTTTCCACTATGAACCACAAATGATCATTTTTCATCATCAGTTGAACAATTGATTCTCAACTTCCCAGACATACATATTTTATAATTAGTTATAGAGTTTATAATTACCAGATATAGTATGGATTCATAACGGATTCTCTTGGTACTTGATAATTAATTATAAATCTTACATTGTATTAAGTCAATGTTTGAGAATGCTTTGTAATTCAATTTGATTTTGTAACATACATCATGAAAATGAAGATTTAAATCAATATAATTTATTATTAGATTTAGGTTCTATCTACTTAGAACAGATTACCTGCTCTTGGACTATAATCTGTTGTAACAGGAGATTTTTTTCACTCTACACGTTGAAGTTACGTGATCTGAATCTTTTAAATTATTGATTGAACATAGGAATTCCTGGACCCAGGATTTCAATCTGTAAATTATGATGAAATTGGAAAATTCTTAGGAGAAATATTAACCAGAATAGAAAAAAATAGTATTTCCTTTTCTTACCAATCACTTATTCTATGGTTATTTATATTCTGTCGGATTGTATGTACCTTTGAAGGAATAATAAGATCGAAATTCCCATAATTGATAGTAATGAACTGGGAAACTCAATTCTTTTTAAAATAGAGGGTCATAAAGAGCGTAAACTTGATAATACTTAATACAATGTTTTGTTTTGTTTTTTGCCAGGCATAAAACCAAAATTTTGCATGTCCTCATTGTTCTTATTTGCAACTAGTATTTGTGTTTGTTTTCACATTGCTTATCATTTATGGCACTGCCATTCGTTTAAGGTTCTCTCTTTTTTCCAGCCAATTAAAAAATATTGATCGGGATTGCATGGCAAATACATGTGCAAATGATAGGTATTTAGGATCAGCATGGGAGTTGTTGGCTTTACAGCTTATTAATACCTCATTTTTTAAATATAATATGGAAAGTCAAGATAAAAAGAAATCCCAGCTGATAAGGCTTAATCTCTGTGTATTTTTCAATTGTGATATTTGAGAAAAATTGTCCTCTTTTATTTGAGTAATTTCAAAGTGTGGTTGTTTTTCCTTTCGTAACATAGGTACACAAAATAAAAAAAGTTGTATGACCCAAAGTCTTGACACCTGTTTCTCTTTGCGTGTCAATGCACTGAAACCAAGTCTGAACCCAGATTTGCACTATCACCCTCCAGTTTTTTTATCGCAAAAAACACTTGCAAATACTAGATTTTGGTGTCTTATAGCATTATACTTTACAGAAACCAAAAGAGTTCCGACCCAAGACTTGACACATGTTTCTTTACATATGTCAATGCACTGAATCTAAATCCAAAGCCACATTGCGCCACCGTGTGGGTGATGCCACAATTCTGCCTGCAGGTTCAGTTTCTTCTCAATGACAAGCATAGAGAAATAAGTGTCAATTCTTTGGGTCTGACAACAACCTATGAAAACAAAACAAAAAAATCCATTTTACAGTGGTTTTTCCTGGTTTACAAAAACTGGAAGGTGATGGCACAATTCTGGATTCAGAATCAGCATGTAGAGAAACGTGTCAAGTCTTTGGATGTGACATTTTTATTTTGTGTGCCTTTGTGGTCAGTTGTACTGTTGCTTTTAAAGTAAATAAATAAATAAATTCATCAACATCACTAAAATCACCTTTGTCAAGCTAGTAAAGTTCTGAAATTTCTTCGTCATCCTAATTTCCATTTTGAACTTGTTTATAATTACCTATTGACAGTATCTCTGGTGAAACAAGTACTCATAAACAGAATTACAACAATGAATGAAGCAAAATATTTTCAGTCAGATAGCCTTCATACCATTGCCTATTCATTGGTTACAATAGGTAATCTATTTACATTCCTGTTATATTATTGATAAATATATTATTTCTATATGGAGGGCAAATTGCTGTTTTATCAGAGATGCCCTCCAACCTGTGCAGCAAGCCTTCTTCCTTTTAACCTTCAAGCTGTGAATCATCATCCAACCATCTGTGTCATCTTGCACATGTCATGTTAAACGTTTATGTTGCCAAATTTCTTCCAATGCAAATGGAAAATGGAGGTCTGGATCATTAAGAGCTGGCGTCATGGTGAACTTGGTTCTAGTGTATCTGGCAATAATTGGTGTTTTCTGGTATATGTTTATTTGAACATATGAATGAATTTTTAATGTTATTAAAGATATATTTGGCTTCTAAGTAATGTTGATTTTATGTTGGTTATTATTATTACAAGTTTAATTTCGCAGGAAAAAAGGAAGATACGATTGGACAAAGTTTCGTACACTTTCACGACTTGACAAAAAATTTGATGACACCATGACAGAATATTTCAAAGCTTTTATGTCCATGTGCAAACGTGTGTGTGGAATGAAATTGTCAGAGGAGGAAGGTCAGTTCAATATTCTGTTTCTTCTTAATACTCTTTGATGAATGGAAAATGAATATAATTTTGTTTTATTGTTTGTTTGTTGACTTTTTGTTTCAGAATCTTTAGATATGCCCGTGGAGCCCTTACCTGAGGACAAAGCACGTAAAGTTCTGGAGCGAGTGGAGCTTCTCAGCAAGATAAGGGAAGAAATTCTTCCTCATCCACAATTGCAAGAACGTCTTACCCTGTGCCAACTGTCGCCAGATGTTCCAGACTGGTGGCAGCCAGGGAAACATGATCATGATTTGCTCCGAGGCGCTGCGAAGTGAGTACCACTATTCAGTGATGTTTATTGAGTAAGGAGATGCAGCAAGGATTAAATTAGAGGAGCTACTTGTGAATTTAGATCAATGTTAGGTAATATAAATTGACGTCCTTAATAATTTAGTGTTGAGACTGCTTATCAGCAAAATAAGTAATTACCTAATTTGTTTCTAAAGACTAAGTGTATCCACTGTGACATTGGTACTGGAAATCTTTCACGCATCGCTACATATTTCATCAAGAGAAAATAATATAATGTGACAGAAATCAGGGTTGTTGTTTTTTTGTAGAATGACTCGTAATGTGGGGCCCTGGTGTTGAAAAGTGGATAAATTTTGTTCTTGTATATAGTAAATTATTTATTCTACCATTCTCTGAAAACAGAGTCTAAGTTTTGTCAGTCCTTGGTACGAAAAATGAATTGCCCTTTGATATGCCCTTTTTACATTGACCTCGATTGTGGTTTCAATAATTTTTGTTGTACTCCTACTTTCACTATTAGTTCCCCTATGCCTTTTTTCTCTCCTGTGTATATGTGTATGAATACAGACACATAAATGTATGGATATATAGACATATACAGGTTTGTGTTATGCAAGTGTTAATGTTTTTCATTGATTGTTTCTTTCCTCCACAGACATGGATTAGGCCGTACCGACTTTTTCATCCTGAATGATCCTGAACTTGGATTTCGTGATATCCTTAAAAAACATTTGTTGGAAACATCCGATTCTCAAGTTTTGAAGAGTAGCCAAAAGGACGTATATCAAGGAAATAATGTAAAAGCAGAGGTTGTCAATGAAGCAGCAGATGTTAAATTTGAACGACCAGAAGATATATTGCGTTCAGACAAGAGTGAAATATTGGTGAAACTAGAGAAAGGGGAGGGAACACTAAAAATAGAAAAAATTGGTGCTGTGAAACGTGAGGTGAAGGCTGATAATGCAGTTGAGGAACAGACAACTATAGAAATTGAACTGATAAAACAAGAAAAGCAGTCACAATCTTCTTCATCAGATTCTGTGAAAGATGGTCAGGAAATGCAGAATGATGAATTGTCTAATTCAAAGATCGAAAGTTCTGGTGAACTATCTGAGAAAAATGTTAATGAGGAAACTAGCAAAAACAATGATGGCCAGGAAACTCAAGGAATAGAAGAAATGGAGGTGGAAACCGGTAATTTTGCATCTAAAATTTCTGACAGTGGTAAGCCAGAGGATCAGCCCAACAAAAATAAAGCGAACCATGAGAAAGAAGAAGAGGAAGGTAAGAATGTTTCAGGCAGCAGTCTCGGTGAGGGGCAGCCTCTTGAATCATCCACAGATAATCCACAGTCCATTGAAGTCTCAGAGAAATCAAAAGAACTTCAGGAAAGTGAGGAAAAGAAGTCTGAGGAACAGGAGAAGAAGAATATTGAAAGTATTGATGAGACTGAGTCAGCTGAAAATAAGAAAATGGAAGTGAACAATCCAGAAAGAGGAAATGAAAATGAAGAAAATAACATTGCAGGCAAAGAATCATCTACTGAGGAACAAAGCAACACTGAAGACAAAGAAACAGAAGATAATGAAGGCAATGAAGTAAAACCTGGAGAAAATGAAGCTGAAGAAAAGCAGAAACCTACAAATGAAGCTGAAAGTCCAAAATCTTGTGATGAAACAAAAGGGGAGAATTCTTGTGTTTCTGAAGAAATCGAAAGTAAAGATGCAAAAGGAAAAATAGAATCTACTGTATTTAACACTGATTCAATTAGTCCTACAGATGACATAGTAAAGGAAAAGGAGTCTGAAAGTGTTGTGGGTGAATCTAGTAAGACTCCTGAAAAGTTGATTTCTGTGGAAGAAGAGAAGTTAAAAATCCCAGAAGAAAGCAATCAACCTAAAGAAGAAGTTCAGGAAGACAAGAAAGTGGAAATAGTAAAAGTGGATGATAGCAGCATCACAAAGAAAGCAGATGGAGTCAAAGCTGAAGAAGTAGAAGAGAGAAAAACTAGCCAGCAGGCAGCAGAGTTGCAAGCTATGTTTCCAGATTTGGAAGTTATACAACCATTGGCTCGTCTTGCTGAAATTGATACATTTGTCTTGGGTGGAAAGGCTGTACCAAATCGCTCATCGACTCCTTTGGATTTCAGTGAGCCCAACAATTCTGTGTCTCAATTAATAGTTGGACACCAATACCAAAACCCTATCAAATGGCCAAAGGTAAGTTTATAGTAAAAGTAAAGTAGTGTTGAATGAACCTCATGTACATCTAAGGCATAATTGTACGGTGTGCCTCATTTAATTGCATGTGCAACGTAGGGCTTTTTGTTGTTATAAGATTGCAATATTTAAAAACAATTTATTTTGTTTTGAACACAATTAATTCTGAATGTTATTAATGAATGGTGTAAAGAGAGAGTAACACAGAGATTTGTTCTGTTCACTAGGATCAGGTTCTACAGCAGAGATTGCATCACATTGTTCACACTGTTGAATTCCGTGAGTGGCCTGTCCCACGCACCTTCAGCACCCCGGAGGTGGATATTTCATGCCGTGACTTGACCAGCACACCCGAACTCTTACCGAAACGGGATTCATCCACTCCAATTTCTGTATCTGAAGGGTCATCAGAAGTTATAACAATAACAACAGGCGATCATGGAGTTCCTTGTCGATCTTCAAGTCAGTTGTCTTCGAGCAACGGCAAGAAAAGGAAACGACATATTGCCATTGATGTGGAAACTGAACGAGGTGAGTGTGGATTCAATGGTTTCCATTTCACTGTGATGGTTATAGAGCATTTGCAGTTGGAGGAGCGTTTTTTGATGGCTTTTGCTGACGACCCTTGATGGGAGCATGTCTTGTGTAGAATTTGTCAAGTAGGTAGGCATTTTGTTAAAGTGTCCTCTGCACTGAGATCTATTACAGCCCAATAGATGTGCTTTTGTGCCATTGAAAGAAGTCGCATGTTTGTAAATTGGCTGTTCTTTGTAAATAAAAGATGTTACTTCGTTAGGGGTTGTTTTTGTCTTCCGAGAACTTTTGAAAGTACGTTTTCTTCCTAATTTACCAGCTTGGAAGAACGTGCTGGCTAGGATCCTGGAGAAGGATCTTTTGACAGCTGCAGCCCATTTGTGCTAAAACATTTAGTGGTAAACATTAGTCAAAAAACGCTCCTTTTTCAGTAAATGGCCCATACCGGCCCATTTGTTGGGCTTGTAAGAGAGATAAGAGTGCGTGCTTGTGTTGCAGAGCACACGCCTGAGCCTGGGACACTAGGTATGTGGGCTATGCTCGCTGCTTGATGTCCTTTCCCTGAAATCCTCTCTAAAGTCCTTCATGCATGAGTCTCTGGTGGGTGCATTTCTGCATTTTCTGGTTGTTCTGCTTGCCTTTCAGGAAGTGAATGATATTTGTAATATTGAGTTGAATTTTTATGGAAAGAGTGTAGGAAAATGTATCTGAAGCTTGGAATACAGAATTTTATCCAAGAATTTAGTTAGATTATTTTTGCAACAGAACAATGTTAAACTGAGAAAATTACAGGCAATTTACTTGCATCTCAATCACTTCAATAAATTTTTTGCACACTACTTACATACGCTGCATGTTCAATCTGTGCATGACTTCATCATAATTACTTGTCATCTTTCTTCAAATAATTTAGAACAGTAACATTGTATTAGTTTCTTCATTTTATGACATTTCTTTCTTGACTTCATATTAATTTAAAAGATGTTATGAAATGACTTGGTTGCTGAACTCCTTGTGTTCTTAAAACATATATTGTTCTGAAGTTTGCCGCAAGAGTAGTTGATTAGCTTACAGATTTCTCGGAATTTTGTGCATAATACTTGGTGTTGCTGTTGTAAATTTTGCATTGATATTTGTACTATTTAATGATTCTGTCTTGCAGCAAAACTTCATGCTCTGCTGAATAGTTCATCAGGGGGCCCAATGCAGCAGCAGACTCCACCTGCGCATATGAACAAACCAACATCTTCATTGCCTCCTTGGGCCGATCTCAATGAGGAGTCCTTATCAGAAGACTCTCGGTAAGAGGAGTGGTTTAGATTCTTTATTTTAACACATTCGTTAGGGGCAACAGAATTCTCTGTTCGATAGCCGTCATGCAGTATTCTCTGGCACAAGTAATTCCGTGTCGCAGTTAGAATCTAACGTTTGCTCTTTAAATAAGTTGAAATTCAATTTAATAGTTACAGTGACATATGTAGTGCTGGGGCATTGAATTGACAGCTTGACAATCAGTTAAGAAGTGGATTACTTTTAACTGCTGTTCTTTTTCCCATGAAAACTGATGGTCTAATAACTGCTCATGACGTCGTGGTGGAGGAAAGGGCCGGATCCCTCAGGACAAGATGGGCACTGACCGCCTGGTGACCAGTGTGTTAAAAAGAACGAGCATTTTTTAATTTAATCTTTTAACATGTTTTATAACAGTTGTATAAAAAATACGAGAATTTGGGTGCTTAGGTACTGAAAACTAGCTGAAATGGGTCAGCATACCTATTTTCTCTTACCTTGTGGTGAGTTTAATTCATTTTTCTTACCAAATTCATTCCTTGATCGGAAGTGACTTTCAGGCTGTGAAATTCTTTGGTATATGACTTGTGTAGTATAGGGAAAGTATTGTAATGATGCAAGAGAAAAAATAGAGGATATTCAACAGAAAATCTCTTATTCTCTGGGAATAAAAAGGTTTCCATAGTAAAGTAATATGTTGTGAAGCCAGAATACATGTTTTGTGGGTCCTTGATATCGAAAAATTGATTGATGGCGAAACGTCTATACATCTTTTTGTCCATGGTCAGCACCTGAACATTTCCAATGGTTTGCCCCGAAAATTGATAATCCTCTTTCAATCTGAAAATAAACTCAAGACCCTGCGAGTTTGAAGGGGGTACTTCACATGAAGCCTCAACAGTGGCATTTTGATATATGCACCATTGATTTCATGTTGATTTGAGCAAACCTTTCATTTTTTCAAAGGTGTATTGACGGGTGGAAAATCCTTAAGATATTTTAGGATTGTCCGTGGTTATTCATTGCAGCAGCATATCTTAAAGTTAATTTTTGGTTTTGATTCAAGTTTTCAAGGAACATTTAAGAAGTTGAACTAGTGGTGCTACAATAACATGTACATTCTCGCGTCAGTAACAGTTATTTAAAATGGTAATACTATAATTTCTGTCCATGTACTCATACCTCAGCCATCACTTGTTTACAAATGAATTGCAAGTAATATAATGGGGGGAAAATGACCTTAAGAATTGTGGAAGCAAAACTTACATGTAAAACAAAACAAGCATTCACAAAACGTACTTGTAAAACTCATTACCAATTGTAGTGCTTTAAGCATGGAAAATCATTTAAAGGTACAACACAAATTCAACAATGCAAAATGCTGTTCCATACATCCTAGAAACATTGTCCAATAATAAGATGTTTTGAGAATATTGTACTGCAGTGCTAGCATGCTTGCAGAGTGGTTTTCGACCTGGTAACTCTGAAAAGATTGTAGCAAATAAAGTACAGGAAATTTGAATTTGCAAAATGATGCTAAACTATGGATACTTTTAAAGCATTGTACATGAGCTTTTTTAAAGAAGTAATTTTTTTGAACAGATTTAATTCAATAAAATATCTCTTATCACCAATAATGTACTTGTGCCATGTTAATTTTTTGGCAGTTTTTGCAAATTCAGGGAATTTACCGAAAAGAGTACCTGAACCACTGTCTTTACCACCCTTTCAAACATTTGAGAGAAAAATTAAAGAAAATATTTGCAGGCTTTTTGAGGAAATAATTGTTTAAAAATTACCTACATTTATTTCACCCAAAAATTATGCCAAAACGAGGAAATATCTTCATCTTCAATATTGTAATCGTAACTTTTGAAATTTTTGAAAAATCTGGAATTTCAATGAAACTAAGACCTGCCCTATTTATTTACGAGTGGTTCAAGCAATCCAAGTGCAGAGTTTAACAAAAATCATCAGTCATATTTGAGTCACATTTAATTCAACATCAAATCAATGGTGCATATGTCAAGATGCCATTGCTCTGTTTCCAAGGTAATTCTCTAAATATTTCTTCTTGAACTCCATTTGTGGCTTCCATGACACACCTTATATAATCTTCATCACTTTCACATTTACTAGAAGACGTGCACCTTCTAATTTGTATCAGGAAATTATAATTTAAGTAATTAGTAGCAGTGAAGTCAGTCAGCAATGTTAGATGATGAGTTCAGGTCACTGAATAATTTCAATCGACCAAATTATTTTTCATTTTGGTTGATTAAAATTTTTCAGTGGTCTAACGAACTTGGCATTTGTTTTTAAGAAATCCCAATTTCACCATTTGAGGATTATAACTGATTTTAGCCTCTTGTAATCCTTAGAATTTATATATTTGGATCAGAAATTATTGAAATGGATGTGTGTAAAACTAATGAGTTAAGAAGTGAGGAACATAATAGATTGAAACCTAGGAATCCTGTCCCTAGTTTCAAGCAGTCTTCAAAATGTGATGGAAAACTTAGATGTGATTTTAAAATACAAATTGAAGTAATTCCTCATTAGAGGGAACAGTTAACGAAACTTGAGGACAGACCTTCATAATTAAGTCCTTAGTTAATTAAGAAACCGTACTGCATTGTAGGTAGATTAAAATGGTTAAAAATATTAGATAATTGAGAATGAGATAAATGTACACAATTTATATGAAGAATTTGACAGTAAGTGCAAATTCGATTACAGATCTCTTCGAAATCCAGTGTCCTGCGACAAAGGTGGCAGAATCAACACAAACAGTCAACAAATAGCTGAGATATTTGCAAGTACATTTAAGGAAATTTGTGCTGCAGAATGACTAATGATTACCTAATGTGGCACAGAGAGACATCACCCTTGCATAATATTGAATGCTTAGATATTGAAGTAGTTAAATTACACAATACCTGGATTAAAGTTGGGCCTCTGGTCTAGATATTATTCCAACAATTCTTCTAAAAATGTGGGCTCCAAGACTGACTCCTATTGAAAAAAATCTCTGTAAAATCGATGGAAAGTGACTGTCATCAATACAGTCAAGAAGCCAAGAAATTGTAGGCCTGTCAACAAGACAAGTGCAAAGGGAAAATCATGATAGGGGATTATGATAACAAAGATTAAGGATTCTGTCAAATGCAATGTCTTCATACCTACCCGACAACAGGGCTTTGGTATATTACACGATGAAGCAAAAGCCTTGGATAGAGAACTTAAGTAAAGATTTTGTGGTAAAGAACAGTCCAAAAGTTCGAGAGCTGAGTTCACTTGAACAAATAGAAGATGCCTCGATTACATCAGTAACGTACCCAACAGCTTAAGTTCTTCATTCGAATTGGTTTTGATAACATATTTTATGTAACTTTTCTTTGCTTTTATGACATTTAAAAAATGTTTTAAGAGCATTGTATTGATCATTTTGGGCGATGTTTTAGGTAATCAAAATCCACCCCCTGGTTATTATCTTCAATGTTATAGAGGTCTTGCGGGTTCTATAAAATATTATTTCCTTCCGTATATCATTTAACTTTTTGTTAGAACGTTTCCCTCTTTATCTCTGCACATATCGTAGTTACTTCTTTAAATTTCAGTCCACCAATTTCAGAGAAGAACTTCTATTTCTTTTAAAACTTTCATCTATTTCACTCACCCTCCTATTTGTCCAATTCCTTTTCTTTCTTTGACATATTCTGTTTACTTCCGTTGTTTCCTCCTGGTACAGTGTTATTCTTTGCTAGTACTGCAATGTGGCATTCTTCATCCTACCACGACTTTTTCAGTCTTTTACTCAATTCTTTCTACTCCAATTCTTTGCATGGCAACATTCTGTAGTTGAATTCATTCCATGGGCACTCTATTTGCTAATTGTTCCGCTAATAACTGGCAAAATTCACGTCTATTCCATGATGGTATTTTCTCACTTGTTTCTTTCCGAATACTCTTGGTAACTTTATGTGTAGAATAGTCTTTACCAAATTGTGATTAGAGTGTATGTTTGGACCACATAATTCATGTACGTGTTCTATCAGATCTGCATTACGTTTGTTTACTAATATGTGATCTATCTGTGTCACCGTTTTTCTGTTGGAGGAAAGCCTGTTCCCATGAGTATATGTTTATAATTAAATTTTGTGTTTATTATCACAAGATCATTAATTGTTGTTCGATCACAGAGTTGCTCACCATTTTGGTTTACGATTTCATGGATTGTGTGTAAACCAGATAGTTCTCGTTTGATTTCTTCCTTCGCTAACTCAGCGTTGAGGTCTCTGAGTAATATCAGAATATGAGACTTCTGAACTTGTTCAATTGTTCGCTGCAATGCATCCTAAAATTGCTCCTTCTGTTCTTTTATCAGGGTGATATTATTAAATTTCCCTTTTAGTCATAGCTTACTTAGTCTTTCATTAATTGGAGTAATACCAATCAGATGACTTTGCATATCCTTCCTTATTAGGAATCCTGTTCTAGCGTGTCTGGATCTTAATTCTGTCCCTTTCCTTTCTTCACACAACTTCCTGACTTCCAGGAGCGCTACTTCTCTCAGGGGTTTCTCTCTCTCTCTC